GGCCTCTCCTGTTGCGGAGCACAGGCTCCGGACGTGCAGGCTCAGTGGTCATGGCTCACGGGCCCAGCCACTCCGTGGCATGTGGGATCTTCCCGGACCAGGGCACGAACTTGTGTTCCCTGCATTGGCAGGCAGACTCTCAACCACTGTGCCACCAGGGAAGCCCAAGTTTAGCATCTTTAAGTGCACAGTTCAGTGGTATTAAATACACTCACATTGGTATGCAACCATCACCACCATCATCTCCATCACTTTTTTCATCTTGTAAAACTGAAACTCTGTACCCATTAAACACTAACTCCACATTTCCCTCTCCCCACAGACGCTGGCAGCCACCATTCTTCTGTTTTTATGATTTTGACTACTTTAAGTACCTCATATAAGTGGAATTATACAAAGTGTTTGTCTTTGTGTCTGGCTTACTCCACTTAGCATAATGTCCTCAGAGTTCATCCATGTTACAGCATGTGTCAGAATATTCTTCCTTTTTAAAGCTAAATAATGTTCTGTATGTATACGCTTTGCTTATCCATTCATCTATTGATAGTACTTGTGTTGCTTCCACATTTAAGCTATTGTGAATAATGCTGCTATGAACATGGGCATACAAATATCTCTTCGAGACCCTGCTTTCAGTTCTTTTACATATATAACCAGAACTGGAATTACTGGATCATATGGTGATGTTGTGTTTAATTTTTTGAGGCCTCACCATAACGTTTTTCATAGCAGCTGTTAATCTTTTTACATTCCCACCACCAGTGCACAGGGTTCCAATTTCTCCACATCCTCACCAACACTTTTTTCTGTTTTTTTGGTAGTAGCCATCCTAATGGGTATGAGGTGGTGTCCTGTAGTTTCGATTTGTGCTTTGCTAATGATTAGTGATGTTGAGCATCTTTTCATATACTTACTGGACATTTGTATATATTCTTTGGAGAAATGTGTATTCAAGTCCTTTGCCCATTTTCTAATTGGTTTGCTTGTTTTTTTGTTGTTCAGTTTTAGGAGTTCACTATATATTCTGGATATTAATCCCTTATCAGATACATAAATTACCAAATATTTCTCTGTTCTGTGGGTTACATTTTTACTCTGTGGATAGTGTCTTTAAACCTAGATGAAATGGACAGGTTCCTAGAAACACAAAACTTAACAAGACTAAATCACAAAGAAATAGCAAATCTGAATAGACCTATAACTATGTTTATTGTTTATTCTCTATTTTGCTTATTTCTGCTTTAATCGTTATTATATCCTTCATTCTGCTAGCTTTAGGTTTAGTTCTTCTTTTTCCACTCCCTTAAGTTGTAAGTTAGGTTGTTGATTTGAGACCTTTCTTGTTTCTTTTTTGTTTTCTTTTTAAAATTAATTTTTGGCTGCATTGGGTCTTCGTTGCTGCGCGTGGGATTTTTCTCTAATTGTGGCGAGCAGAGGCTACTCTTCATTGCAGTGCGTGGGCTTCTCATTGCGGTGGCTTCTACTGTTGTGGAGCACAGGCTCTAGGTGTGCGGGCTTCAGTAGTTGTGGCATGCGGGCTCAGTAGTTGTGGCACACAGGCTTAGTTGCTCCGTGGCATATGGGATCTTCCTGGACCAGGGCTTGAACCTGTGTCCCCTGCATTGGCAGGCGGATTCTTAACCACTGTGCCACCAGGGAAGTTCCTAAATTTCCCCTTGTCACCACTTTTCACTCTGTCCCATAGGTTTTAGTATGTTGTGTTCTCATTTTCATTAGTCTTTTAAGTATTTTCTAATTTTCCTTGTGATTTCTTCTTTGATCCATTGATTATTTAAAAGTGTGTTCTTAAAAGTTGTTTTTGTCTAGTGTATCTGCCACTTGTTTTTTTCTCACAATTTTGTTAGTTTTCCAGTTTTCCTTTTGTTATTGATTTCTAACTTCATCCCATTGTGTACAGAGAAGATACTTTTTATGATAGCTGTCCTTTATTTATTTATTTTTTTAGCATCTTTATTGGAGTATAATTGCTTTACAATGTTGTGTTAGTGTCTGCTGTATAACAAAGTGAATCAGCTCTATGTATACACATATCCCCATGTCCTCTCCCTCTTGCGTCTCCCTCCCACCCTCCCTGTCCCACCCCTCTAGGTGGTCACAAAGCACCAAGCTGATTTCCCTGTGGATAGCTATCTTTTAAAATCTACTGAGAGTTCATTTGTGGCCTCACATATGGTTTATGCTGGGAAATGTCCCATGTGCACTTGAGAATGTGTGTGCTGTTGTTGGGTAGAATGTTCTGTATCTGTCTGTTTCTGTCCAGCTTTTATTGTAGAACTGTTTATTTCTCCCTTCAGTTCCATCAGTTTTTGCTTCATATATTGTATCTTAATGGTCTGTCAGGTGCATGAATGTTTATAATTGTTATATCTTCTTGCTGTATTGAACTTTTTATTAATATATAATATTCTTCTTTATCTTTTGTAACCTTTCTTGATTTAAAGTCTACTTTGTCTGATATTAAGATAGCCACCTCTGCTCTCTTGGTTATTATTTTCATGGAGTATCTTTTTCCATCCTTTTACTTTTAATCTGTTCTTGTCTTTGGATCTCAGGTCTTTGGCTCTTTCTTTTTTTTGGGGGGCTGCGTTGGGTCTTTGTTGCTGCACGTAGGCTTTCTTTAGTTGTGGTGAGCAGGGGCTACTCTTGGTTGCAGTGTGCAGGCTTCTCACTGCAGTGGCTTCTCTTGTGAGGTGCGTGGGCTTCAGTAGCTGCAGCATGTGGGCTTAGTAGTTGCGGTATGCAGGCTTAGTAGTTGCGGCACACGGGCCCTAGAGTGTGTGGGCTTCAGTAGTTGCGGCGTGTGGGCTCTAGGGCGCGCAGGCTCAGTAGTTGTGGCTTGCAGGCTCTAGAGTGCAGGCTCAGTAGTTGTGGCACACAGGCTTAGTCGCTCCATGGCATGTGGGATCTTCGCGGACTAGGGATCGAACCTGTGTTTCCTGCATTGGCAGGTGGATTTTTAACCACTGCGCTACCAGGGAAGTCCCAGGTCTTTGGCTCTTGTAGATAGCATATAGTTAGATCATGCGTTTTATCTATTCTGCCAGTCCCTGTCTTTTGATTGGAGTGTTGAATCATTTACATTTAAAGTAATTTCTGGTAAGAAGGGACTTACTTCTGTAAGTTGATCAACATACAAAAACTCTGCCCCCTTAACAGCTCTGCTGCTGTCACAAAAGTACATTTTTATACATTGTGTGCCCCAAAACATAAACTAATAGTTTTTTAAATACCTTCTACCCTAAGTTTTGTAGAAGACAAGATGTGGAGTTACAAACCAAAGTTACAGTAATAATAGCTTTTAAACTAATTTTTTTAAAAAAATATTTATTTTATTTATTGGCTGCATCGGGTCTTAGTTGTAGCACACGGGATCCTCGTGGCATGCGGGCTCTTTGTTGCGGCACGAGGGCATTTCTCTAGTTGTGGCTTGTGGGCTTCTCTCTAGTTGTGGCACGCAGGCTCCAGAGCACGTGGGCTTTGTAGTTTGTGGCACGCGGGCTGTCTAGTTGAGGCGCACAGGCTCAGTAGGTGCAGCATGCTGGATTAGTTGCCCTGTGGCATGTGGGATCTTAGTTCCCCCACCAGGGATCAAACCTGTGTCCCCTACATTGGAAGGTAGATTCTTAACCACTGTACCACCAGCGAAGTCCCTTAAATGAATTTTTTTTCTTTAAATGTATTAGTCTCTTAAGTGACGTAGAAAACAAAAAGTGTGGTTACAAACCATTGTTGTTATAACACTAGCTTTTCTAATGGTCATGTATTCACCTTTTTGAGATCTTTATTTGTGCATGTAGCTTTGAGGTGCTGTCTGGTGTCCTTTCATTTCACCTTTAGGACCCTTGAGCATTTCTTACAGGGTAAGTTGTTTTTTTTTTTAAATTTATTTATTTTTACTTTTGGCTGTGTTGGTCTTTGTTGCTGCACACAGGCTTTCTCTAGTTGTGGTGAGTGGGGGCTACTCTTCCTGGCGGTGTGTGGGCTCCTGATTGTGGTCGCTTCTCTTGTTGCAGAGCATGGGCTCTAGGCATGCGGGCTTCAATAGATGTGGCACGCGGGCTTCAATAGATGTGGCACGCGGGCTCAGTAGTTGTGGCTTGCGGGCTCTAGAGCGCAGGCTCAGTAGTTGTGGCTCATGGGCATAGTTGCTCCATGGCATGTGGGATCTTCCCAGACCAGGGCTTAAACCCCTGTCCCCTGCATTGGCAGGTAGATTCTTAACCACTGCACCACCAGGGAAGCCCTACAGGGTAAGTTTTTGATCATGAACTCCTTCAGCTTTTATCTATCTGGGAATGTCTTAATTTGTCCCCCACTTTTTTTAAAATTGAAGTATAGTTGATTTTATCTCCCCCACTCTTGAAGGTCATTTTTGTCAGATATAGGATTCTTGGTTGACAGTATTTTTCTTTTAGTACTTTGAATATAGCAGCCCACTGTCTTCTGGTCTTCAGAGTTTCTGATGAGAAATCTGCTGATAATCTTGTTGAGGATCCCTTGTGTGTGATGATGCAATAATATCTGGGTGCTTTCAATATTCTCTCTTTGCCTCTGGCTTTTGAAAGTTTGATTATCATGTGTTTTGGTGTGGGTCTTTTTGAGTTCATCTTACTTGGAGTTCTTTAAGCTTCTTGGATGTTTATATTCATGTATTTACACTTACATTGTTTGTTTTCACATTTGGAAAGTTTTCAGCCATTATTTCTTCACTATTCTCTGTGCCCCTTTCTCTGTCTTTGTTCTGGGACATCCACAGTGCTGGTGTGTGCTTATCTGCTTGATGCTGTCCCACAGTTCCCTTGACTCTGTTCAGTTTTCTTCAGTCTTGTCTTTCTGTTCCTCAAACTCGATAATCTTCATTGTCCTGTTTCACGTTCACTGTTTCTTTTTTCTGCCTGCCAAAACTGCCTTTGAATCCCTCTACTGAATTTTTTTTGTTAATTAATTAATTAATTAATTTTTGGCTGTGTTGGGTCTTCGTTGCTGTGTGCGGGCTTTCTCTAGTTGTGGTGAGCGGGGGCTACTCTTTTGTTGTGGTGTGCAGGCTTCTCACTGCAGTGGCTCCTCTTGTTGCGGAGCATAGGCTCTAGGCGTGTGGGCTCTGTAGTTGTGGCTCACGGGCTCTAGAGTGCAGGCTCAGTAGTTGTGGTGCACAGGCTTAGTTGCTCTGTGGCATGTGGGATCTTCCCGGACCATGGCTCGAACCTGTGTCCCTTGCATTGGTAGGCGGATTCTTAACCACTGCGCCACCAGGGAAGCCCTGAATTTTTTTTTTAATATTTATTTGTTTTATTTATTTTATTTTTGGCTGCATTGGGTCTTAGTTGCAGCATGTGGGATCTTCTTTGAGGTATACGGGATCTTTGATGCACCACAGGCTTCTCTCTAGTTGTGGCGAGCAGGCTCAGTAGTTGCAGCACACAGGCTCTCTATTTGTGGCGCACAGGCTCCAGAGCACGTGGGCTCTGTAGTTGCGGCATGCAGGCTCGCTAGTTGCGGCTTGCATGCTCATTAGTTGTGGTACGTGGCCTTAGTTGCCCCGTGGCATGTGGGATCTTAGTTCCCCGATCAGGGATCAAACCTGCATCCCCTGCATTGGAAGGTGGATTCTTTACCACTGGACCACCAGGGGAGTCCCCTCTACTGAATTTTTCACTTCAGTTACTGTACTTTTCAGCTCCAGAATTTCTTTTTGGTTTCTTTTCAGGTTTCCTGTCTCTTTATGGATATTTCCGTTTTGTTCACATGTTATTTTCTTGACTTTCTCCACATCTTCCTTTAGTTCTTTGAGCATCTTTAATACAGTTGTTTTTGTCTAGTGTATCTGCCATTTGGTCTTTTTTTTTTTTTTAATTAATTTTATTTATTTATTTTTGGCTGCATTGGGTCTTCATTGCTGCACGAGGGCTTTCTCTAGTTGTGGTGAGTGGGGGCTACTCTTCATTGCAGTGTGCGGGCTTCTTGTTGCTGGGGCTTCTCTCATTGCAGAGCATGGGCTCTAGGTGCGTGGGCTTCAGTAGTTGCAGCATGCAGGCTCTGTAGTGTGGCTCACGGGCTCTAGAGCGCAGGCTCAGCAGTTGTGGCACACAGGCTTAGTTGCTCCGTGCTGCCATTTGGTCTTTTTCAGGGACAATTTCTGTTGATTTGTTTTTTCTCCTTTGAACAGACCATATTTCCTGTTTGTTTGTATGCCTTGTGATTTTTTGTTGAACACCAGACATTTGAATCTAATATTGTGGTAACTCTGGAAATCAGATTCTCCCACTTACATAGGGATTGCTTTTTTTATATACTGTTTTTGCTTATTGGTGGTGGTGGTGGTTGTTGTAGGCTGTCGCTGTGTTGAGGATCAGCCTGATGTGTGAACTTAATGTGTTACTCTTAGGTCATTTCTGAGCTTTTTGCTGGTACACGCAGTCACTTTCTAATTTTTCCCATGTAGGTAGTTTTTTTTTTTTTAAATGTCTGACACCAGAAAGGGGAAAATCAGAAAAAGAAGGAGGTTAAAATGTGGTGCCAGCCCTTTAAATCCCCTGGCAGTCACTTCAGCCTGAGGTGCAACAACAGCAGCTGTGTGCACCTCCCACCTCTGTGATCAGAAGCAGTGATCAGCCATCAGAACACAGATCCCTCATCTCTGGAGACCAGGGTCCTTTTTGCCCACACTTGTTTCCACAAGCTGTGTGCAAGCTGCTCCAGGAACACCTGCACAGGCCGCTGGGTGGGGGATGGGCAGCTGCTACTGTGTTGAGACCTGAAATTAACCACAGTTTACTCATCTAAGTCTTTCCCTGGAAGTTGTAAGCCTTGAACAGCCTCTAGAGTTACAGAATAGTTCCGTCAGATGGATTCTGCCAGTGTTTTGTTGTCCAGGTGGGCAGACCATTCCTGGTGTTTCCTAATCAGCCGTGTTCCCAGGACCCTCCCCTTGGAGCTAGTGAGTGTTCTTGGTTGGGCAGGCCTTTTCTTGTCTCAGTGTCCCTTTAAATAGAATTGCTCTTGTCACTTACAGATTGGACTCCTGAAGGTATATAGGGGAGGGCATAAAGAAATTTTTGTTGTTTCTCTGGGAAAAGATAATGCCATGGGTCACTTCACATTTTTACTTTTGGAGAGGGATGAGAATAGGCAGTAAGGAAAGTGCTCATGACTTTAGGGAAAAATCACTGTGAGACGTTTGGGGGCAGACCCATAGCTTGTTTTGGTGAATTCTAGCTCCTTGGCTTTCAGGTGGCCAGTGCAGCTTCTAAGGCCCTCTCACCAGCCCACTGACATTTAATGAGTGGCAGCCACTGAGTACCAGGGAGGTGACAAGGCTCTGGAAGCAGAGTCTGCCTTGAGGGGGCTTGTGCAGACTTCCCAGTGTTCTCTGTTTGTTCCAGGACTCTGTTTAAGGAGAGCAGACGAGGCCACGGGCACCTAACGTCAATCCTGTGAGTGTCTCAGTGTTTTCACTTGTCAGGACTACTGGCATTTTTATCTCCTTTGTGGATCTCCTCTGAACCTTTCCTGTGTTCATTCCTTTGAACAGGGCCAAGAAGAAAGTAATGGCCTCTTCCAAAATGAAGATGAAGGTGAGTCAGCCTGCCCAGGTCAAATGTCATATTTTCTCATCTCTCTGCAGCCATGCTCCTGGCAGCTCATTGAACTTTGCTGGTCTTGTAGATAGCTCTTTGGGATTAGGTTGTACCAAGAGGCAGCCTGGCCCACAGGAGTGGCCTGGGGTCGGCAGGGCAGAGACCTGAGTTGGGCCACTAGTGCCCTTCAGCCCCAGTTCTAGGAAACAGCACCCACCTGGCCAGTTCCTGGGGTCGTTGCGGGGTCAAGTGAGGTCCTCCTGACAGCCCTCTGAGGAGTGATGAGCCCTTGCAAATGTGAAAGTGTCACATTGTGAATTGTCCTAATCTCTTATGGAAGAGCACCATCCTAGTGAAGAGCAGGTGAGCCTGGATCTGCACCAGGCAGGGCGGGAGGCTTTGTCCAGTTGACTAGCAGACGTGGAGGGGAGTGCGACGGTTGGAAACTAGAGACTGTGAGATGACTTTGATGTGGCAGAGATCTCAATGTAGTAAAAATTGCCATTTCACCAAAATTCTTGCCAGTTCCTAAGGCTTTGTAGTGCACTTCACCATACCTGAACAGTCCGAGGGAACAAGCATGCAGATCAGTTATTCCTAAGAGTCTGTTGAGCTCCTCCAACATCCTTAAGACTGACTGCACCAAGTGCTCGGGAGGCGGAGTGACAGGACAGACCCCATTCCTGAGCCCACGGAGGAGACAGGTGCTGGGGAAACCAAGGAGGGAAAGAAAACTAAGGCAGTTCCCCTGCCCCATGTCATTTTCTGATTGTGGCTAGGAGCACTGAGGTAGTGTGAGGGCCAATAGGGAGAACATCTCTTTGCTCAAGTCTTGTAGTTTTTCAGAAACAGAGCGAAGAGTTTCCCTGTGGAGGTGTGTGTGCATGCCTGGGTCAGCCCAGCCCCAGCCCCAGGATTTGGCAGAGGGTGGCGGGGTTGCGGCATTTCCAAGTTCACGCATGCCTGGCACCTGCTCCTTTCTTCCCTGGCTTTGTGATCACACAGGAAAGCCCGCTGCTTTGTCTTGTATTCTCATGCGTATGTCCTGTCAGCAGGGCCAGTGTTGGCATCTTTGGACATTTGTAAACATCGGCCTTTCTGCTTTCCTTTAGGAATCATCGACTAAGCCTGATAAAAAGGTTTCTGTCCCATCAGGCCAGATTGGCAGCCCCCTTGCTTTGCCTTCAGAACACCTGGGAGGAGGCCTGAGCATTGGGGCTGCAAACAGGGAGCTCTCATCCCAGGCATCTGGCAGCCTTGCTAATCCTGCTCCTATCAACGTGGAGGACTCGTTGGATGGAGACTTGATCCGTAATTCGGCCTCCTCGTTGGAGGCTGTGTCCAAGGAACTGGCTGCACTGAACAGCAGAGCCAGTGGGAGCTCTGAGTTCACACTGCCTGCACCCTCAAAAGTGCCTGCAGAGAAAGTCGCAGGTGTTTTATGTACGGAAGAAAAAAGGAGCTTTCCGAAGCCCAGCCCTTCTTCTGCCCCACCACCCTCTAGCTCTCTGCAGTCACCCCTCAATTTTCTGGCTGAACAGGCTCTGGCACTGGGGCAGTCCTCTCAGGAGAAAAAACCAGAGAGTTCTGGCTACAAAGAACTGTCCTGTCAGGCTACCCTCAGCAAAGGCCTGCCAGAAGTGCAGCAGTCCAAAGCAAAGCACCACAGTTTGCCACGGACGTCTCACGCACCCCAGGCAGGGGCTCCTGTGCCCAGCCCCCAGGTCAAAGTCTTTCATGCAGGCACTCAACAACAGAAGAGCTTCACCCCCCCAGCTCCGTTTGTCAGTAAGCTTCAGGGCCCAAAGCCTGCCTCCCCTCAGTGTCACCGTTCCCTCCTCCAGCTCGTCAAGACAGCTACCAAAAGCCAGAGCTTCCATCCTTCCACGCCAGTGTCTTCAGGAGGCACACCAGCCTCCAGCAGCAGCTCTCATAAGACCCCAGCCTCATCCTCCACTGCCCTGAGCCATCCAGCAAAACAGCACTCAGCCAGCTCTTCAGGGCCGTCTTACAAGAACAGTCCCTTTGCCGGCTCTATCTCCAAGCACGGGGTTTCTTCTGGCAGCTCTTCCTCTGGAGGAGCACCAGTCCAGAGCTCTGCTTCTGGGAACCTGCTCCCTGCTGTGCAGCCTCCCTCCACGGGACAGTCCGCCAGCCGACCCATCCCAGGCTCTGCAGTGAAAAAACCACCTATTTCCCAGAAGTTGACCCTGGTGGCCCCTCCAGGTGGTCCAAATGGAGATTCTAGTGGGGGGACCCAGGGAGTGGCCAAGTTACTGACCTCCTCCCTGAAGCCCAGTGCGGTGAGCAGCGTGACATCGTCTACCTCCTTGCCAGTGAGTACCTTGAAGCAGCCCTCCCCTCGTGGGCCTTGTGGGCAGGGCTGCTGGCCTTGCTGTGGTCAGAGAGTGAGATCTGACACTGAAGGTCAGGTAGGAACAGAGCCCAGAAATTGGAAGGAGGACTGGGCTTCCTGTTTCCAGGTTTCTACTTTTCTGGTGGCAGGACTCCCAGGCAGAGCCTGAAACTTCTTCTTGGGAGGACGAGTGGAGGGAAAGGACTGTTCAGCACCATGTTTGCAGGGAGGCTATGGATCTGGATGGCATAGAATGAGCTAGAAAACTTTCCTTTCATAGCCTCCTGCCTGTCCATCTCTCCAAGCAAGTAAATGAAATGCATACTGTCTCTCAGGTCATTAGTTATGTGGAGATTTTCATGCTCTAGGAAGATCAGTACCTTCTAAGAATGATCCTTTGATTGGGTTTGGAAAGACTCTGTAGGTCAGACAAAGGCGATTTGACAGAGTCCAGTGGTTTATGAGGTTTGCCTGTAGGTGATTACAAGAAGTTTGGATGCAGGTTGGGAAAATGAGAGCGAGCTTATTTTTTTCTCCATTTTTCCAATGTATAAGACAACCATGTGGTTGCAAAGGACAAAACTATAGAAAGGTGTGTTGAGCAAAGTTTTGCTTGCCTGTGCCATCCTCCTACACCCCCTGTAACTGTTCCTTAGTTTCCAGGGTTTTCCTGTTTCTTTCTAAAAACAAAGATTAATACTTAAAAATGTGTGTGTGTATGTATGTTTTATGGATATAAGTATACACATACACGTATTCCTATGTACTTATATTTGTGGGTATCCTTCCCTTTCTTTCTTGCACAAGGAAGGCATATTTAACACCTGCTTTTTAAAATGAACTCTGTTCTGGGAGCCCTTACATGCCAGTTCAGAGACTGTCTTCCTCCTCCCTTTGGGGCCGCAGTGGAGGGGGTTCCTTCACAAGGGGTGGCTGACGTGCATGTGTCCCCCCAGGTATGCTAACAGGTTTGGTTTGTGAGTGAGCTCTGTATGGGGCTGGAGTGCTGATCCCTTTGTGTGCTTCCTCCCCAGAAAGGAACGAGTGGGGCTGTGCTGCTGACCAGCTCCTCACCCTTAAATCTACTGTCTTCATCCTACAAGGCAGGCAGCCCAAAGCTGCCTGGGGCCTTGAACTCGAACCCCTTGGGAATTATCTCCCAGCTCCCCCTCCACGTAATCTCCTTTAGTGCTGACTCCTCTGCTAAAGCAGGGGTCTCCAAGGATGCCATCGTCACAGGCCCTGCCCCTGGGACGTTCCACCACGGCCTCGGCCACAGTAAGTGTCTCCTTCCTCCCCACACTGGAGGTAAAGAAGGTGCCCCAGTGCCTCTCTGTGACCCACAGGTTCTGTTGTCATGTGCTGGGTTCCTGTGTTTGTCTGGTGTGTGATCATGGGCAGCCTTCCCGGGGACCCTGCTGAGCCACCCCCTTGGGGTTTCCATCCAGAACCAGTGCAGTAGGTCGCCTGGGGCTCTGGAGCACCGAGGCTGCTTTCCACTCCTGTCTTCAGTGTGTGTGCTTTGTTCTTCTCTCCCTTCCTGTTTCCTCTCAGGTCTCCTGGCTGGCTTGCACTCCAGCCCACCCCGCGGAGCACCTCTCCCACACGCTGCCGTGTCTACCCACATCCCACAGAGTCTGCCAGGTAATTTCCAGGTGGTCAGAGTGCCACATGCACTGTGGGCCATTCCCCTCCCCCATCAGAGGCCTTGTCTGCTGCCAAGGACGTGAGTGTCTGCTTCTCGTTGTCACGTTGTGTGGGTTTGTCCTCTGAGGCTCGGCTCTGTGGGTACTCAGACTGAGGGACACACGCTCTGTCTACCGCTGTGACATCTCCCAGGTCAGCCTTGCCCTCTGTGATCACAGAGGAAGTCATGATGGCCTGTGTACAAGGCTGAGGAGTTCCCCACCCATAGCTCAGCATTTCCTCTTTAATTAACAAAAACTAGAAGGGTAATGGTGCTGATTTCCCAAGGGCTAGTTGAGGCACTGCCGGCCTTTAGGTTCACACTGCTACCCCTTCTAGGGGGTACCAGCTAACAGAAGACTCTAAATTTAGTTTAAGTAAAAGGGAAAGTCCAAGGAGCAGCAGCAGGTGACAGTGGTAAGGCTTCGGGAGGGACCCTTATCCCTGATGTCAGCATGTGTCCAGGAGAGGAGCAGCTTTCTCTTCAGTCCAGGTGTCAACGCAGAGATTGGGATCACGACATGACTGAGGCAGCATTCCCATAGAGCAGCATTCTCCATAGAGCAGTGCCTTTCAGAAAGGGACTGGCCTATGGCCCTAGGTTCATAGCTGTGAGAAGAGGGCCCTGAGCCAGCACCTGCACAGTGAGTGGTCTGCCTTGCCCTTTCCTGGGACCTTGGCCCTTAGGCACACGTAATGCAGTACTGCTGGGAACCCTCACGGGATCTCTGTTTTGGCCTGCTGCTCTTCTTACTACTCTAGACCTGTTCCAGAAATGACCTGGGGGCTACATTGCTCAAGGGAGAGCCATTCTTGAAGAAGCTGAGCCTGGGTAGCTCTGGTGGACGGGTCCTGAGTAGATGTAAGGCGGGGAGCTGCCCAGCTGGATGTGCCTGGGACCTGCCGTGCTGAGAGCTTTGGCCCCGTGTCCGCCTCCAGATGTGCCGTGGGTCCCTGGCCCTGTGTCCTGAGGCTGACACGTTCATAGTGACTGCCAGAGGCCAGCTGGGTGCAAGAATGGACTGTAAATCCCCAAGATGGAAATGTTACTTTTTCAGAGAAAGAAACGGGGGTGCTAAGCCTGTATCAGCAGTTACTCCGTTTTCCTCTGGAGAAGCAGTCAAATGCAGGGACTCATTCCACAAGCTGGTGGTCACAGAGCCATCCAGGCGAGATCTTGTGGCTGTTGAAAGATTGCACTTTCTCTGCTTTCTGGAACACTCAAACAGAAAATAATTGAAGAGCCATTGAAAACATGACCATTGATCTGTGTGGTATTTTCAGCAAAAAAGGGAAAAGCGTTTTTTTGTACCATTTCCTACCTGTTTTTCCTCTGGGTGTTGAAACGCTATCTGAAAAGCATCTATGCTAAAACAGGCTATTTGAATATCTCTCTTTTAGACATTCTTTGCGTTGTAGGATTACATTGAGTGATTGTCAGTGAAAAGCTGTCTGCTTGTTCCAGCTGTGACTTGTATCTACTTTGCTTTCTTTCCCACGTGGACTCAGAATGCTAGTGCCTTTGAGCTTGTCCTTTTAGGACCTGCGTGTCTTTGATGGTGTGGATGCTCACTGTGCTTTTCAGTCCTCACTATGGAGTCTGGCTCTGCCTGGGGATGACAACTGTGGCTGAGAACTGGAGTGGCCCGTGTTGCACAGCAGAGCTGCGGTTCTGTGAACACCGTGCTCAGCCAGCAGCTGCCCTCCCAGCGCGCGGCACTCTGCACCACTGCAAGGAGCAGCACACTCAGATAACCTGCCAGCATATCTGGCTCCTTTGAGGCTTAGAACATTCAGTGTTCAGGGGCTTTTGCTATTTAAGAAGTGATCCCCTTGAGGTTTGGTTACTGCTGCCTTAAGGGAATCAGAGATCCTGAAAATCTTACGCTCTGTTTTTGCTTACTCTTTTTCAGATGCTTCTCAGCTTCATGGGAAAGGGCCCAGTGTACCACGGAAATTGTGACTTTCAAGGGAAAGGCTGGAAGCTGAACGAGTAGGTCTCGGAAGTCGGATAATAACTATGCTCTTTCTGCCATTGATTTTCTTCTGGAGAAGGCATGAGTGCTAAGTGGAGCGTCTCTTGGCATGTGTGATGTGCCTTCAGTTAGGCGAGCAGCCCCGTGCTTCTCTGGAGGCCCTGACCAGCCTGGTGCTCCAGGCCTCTCGCTCTGTTGCAGACAATCGTCGGAGGGGCAGCGCTAGGCTGGGGAGCGCGCCGGGTCGTGTTCAGAGCTCTGGTGGCGGGGCAGAGCAGGTGGCGCACCTGTGCTTCACATCTGCCCGACCCCCTCACATTTGGTCAGAGTACCTCATGGCACCCTACTGGTCGGGGCTCCTTCTGGCCACAGTGGGCTCCCTGGATGGTTACGGTGTCCGTCCATCCTCAGGCTGTGTGCTCAACAGGACAAACCCAGGTAACGTCACAGCTGGGAGATGTACCTTGTTCTTTGAAAAATACACCCAATGTGTGCTCATCGTGGGGGCCCGTCTCTCCACTGAACATGACAATGAAGCTCTTTTAGAGAAAAGACCTTTGTAGATTCAACAATTGTGGTAGGATTTTTAAAGACACTTATTTTTGGCTCAGTTTTCATCCTTACCATTAAATGCATTGGATAGAATGGGACTATTCTTCGCAAGTCATGTTGTTCCTAGGAAGACATAATTCCAGTGCCTTTATGGTGGAGCAGAATTAGACACACATCCATTCAGCCCTCTGAGTGGATCTCAGATGAAGACCTTTTTTAAAGATATGTCTGTATTTAAGACATAGTTTGAGTTTTTTATGGTTGCACATCATAATCTGTGCCGTCCTGACTTGAAGGTCGTCTGGGCCCACAAATCCCAGGTCCCAGTTCAGCCAGGGCCCCCACTTTGTTTTTCCAGAGTTCATACAGGTGGACTGCAGAGCCCCAGAGCCCTTCTTCATCTCTTCGAGGGCCAAGGATATGAGGGGTTCCAAGTCGCAGGTAGACATTCCAGTTTATTTAAAAAACCATTCTCAGGCAGAGCTGCAGGAACAGGCCTCTGTGAAGCATCTGCCGTGTAGAAACAGGCCTGGAGGTCCTGGCTCTCCAGGCAGCAGGGCTATGCATTGACTTCAGGGTGACATGCTGACAAGCTTGGAGAGCACGTCAGAGACAGATTGGGACAGTTACCCTGGAGCTCAAGTCATCCCACTGTTCCCACTCACCCAGTGGCTGCTTCACAAAGATTTTTATGGCACTTGCCTGTCCTGTGAAGTCTGAACTGACTGCTCTAGCTAAGTGATTTCTGATACATTGAGAGTAAACAGCCTCCTCAGAATGTACGCCTGTGTGGAGACACGGGCAGCTCTCTTGGTTCCTGACTACCAGGATACAACGCTTGGTAACTCACAGTTCACACAGAGTTTGCCTGGTTTCCAGGGGGAGCAAGACCTCTGCCAGCTAGTCGGCCAGGCCTGTGCTCTTTTTTACATAAAAACCAACATGTGTTTCACATTGGGCTAAGTGGATTCCTTATCCCTTTATTATATCTATTTTTTGCAACTTGGGTTTCCAGTTTACAGAATAGTCTTAGGTAGTAGCAAAAGAGCCAAAGAAGAGATTTGTATTGCTGAGCTCAGAGCCGCGCAGAGGCCGTCCGTGAACGCTGAGCAGCAGGAGAACACCCTGGTTCCCTTCCCTGCAGTGCTCCCTCCTCCCCGAGCACCACTGAGTGTGCGGCTGGAGCAGGATACCCTCATTCTTAGGAATCTAGTGATGCCTCTTGCCTCAGGGAAACGTTTCTTTGATGGGGAGTTTATGAGGTTTCTTTTCCTTGTTGATGCTTTATTTGTGGTAACGAAAGAGTGAATGACTTAAAGAGCCACGGCAAGGCAGGTCTGTTGGCGGAGCGGGCTCATGGGCCATGGCGCTGCAGGGCTTTCCTTGCCGGCGTTTCTTGGGTGTGAAAGGGCTGTGGCTTTCATGCAGCGACTATGTTGATGTTGGGGGTGGTGTGGAAATTGTTAATCTTGTATAAAACCACCCAATAAATTGTTTCAAGGTTTCCAAAACATCATTTCTCATTTATTTCCTTTTACCATATTTGCAAGTAATTCTTTCTCCCATAGGAGCTGGTATGTAGGGAACATTCATTTTGGCTAAAAGCCAAGAGGGTGTTGGAGAATAAGCCTCACATGCAAAAGAGGAAGAAACACCATGAAATTAGAATCAAGCCACCAGGTGTTTATTTTTGCACTATAAATAGTTCCCTATTACTTCCCATTTTCTTACATAGTACGTGAGATACAGAGGACCCGAAATTTGTCTGGTAGAAAATCAGCTGTGGAGTTTACTAAATGGCAGTGAGATAATAAGCAGGACTAGGCACCGAATCTAAGGCTAACAGCAACACAGTCCACTAGGAAAGTACTTTAATTTCAGAACGTGAAACGTTCCCTGATGGTGCGTTTTCTTGGGACAGTATGGCTTGACAGTTAAGCTTCATTCGAGTACCAGGTCAGATGCTGTTCTGGTTTCTTTGCGCCTTTTCTGGCATAAGAGCCCAGATCTGTCTCCCCAGAAGGCCTCTGATGAAGAGTCGGCTGAGCCAGAATCCCGAGGGGTGTGAATGCAGGTTGCAGGCCTGGGGAGCTATTACTTTGCTGAAGCGGGGAGGCCTTTCTGCCCTAGAGTTTCCCGTGCTGGGGTGTGGAGGTCAGTGCTGCATGGAGTGGGCTTGTCCACCCCAGTTGTTGGTCGTCGTGTGCTTTAGCAGTTTTCAGTTGCTTCCAGGTATCACACCTGGAAGGAGTCTGTTTATGGGACTGTGTGGGAAAAGGAGAAAGAAGAAGGGCACTGCGGGTTTGGATCATCAGGAGATGAAGCAGGTCACTCACCTGGTTGGATGACGGTTCAG